CCTACCCATTCCCTGCCTGTCCCTTCCCCTTCTCTGCCCATTCCCTGCCTGTCCCTGCCCATCCCTTCCCACCCCTACCCATTCCCTTCCCATCCTTACCCATTCCCTGCCCATCTCTACCCATTCCCTGCCCACCCCTACCCATCCCTTCCCACAAATGGCCCCTCCCTGTGGCAACTTCAGCACCTTCCAGGAATCCCTGTGGCCCATCCTGGCCGCCCAGTTCCCCCCAGCCCTGCTGGCCAACGGGTGGGCCCTGTCCCACCTCCTCACCCGCCGCCGCTCCTGGCACGGAGGCTCCATCTTCTCCTTCCACCTTCTCCTCACTGGGACCTTCTACTCCTTGTCCCTCCCACTCCTGGTGGGTTATTATTACCCTCCCAAAGACTGGCCCTACGGGAGGGTCCTCTGCAAACTGGAAAGGTTCTTCTTCACCTCCAACCTCTATGGTGGCATCTTCTTCGTCACCTCCATCAGCATCACCAGGTTCTTGGGGGTCGTTTATCCCTTGAGGAGCCACGGGAGGATCCAAACTCGCCACGTCCACCTGCTGAGCCTCGGGATTTGGGTGCTGGTCCTCGGGATTTCAGCTCCTACTTTGATTTACTCCCAGTTGGAAGAGGTGGGAGGAGTGAGGGAATGTTGGGGAAGTGCAACACCTGGGAAACTTGGGGAGTTCTATCCCTACAGCCTGAGTTTGGCCGGGGTGGGTTGTGTCCTGCCCTTCCTGATCAACCTCTCCTGTTACTCCCTCGTGATCCGCGTGGTTTTCCGGAACCCTCGTCTCGACCCGCGGGAGAAACACAAAGTAGGGATGTTGGTGGGAACAGGTTTGGTCCTTTTTGCCTTCTCCTACCTTCCCTACCACCTCTTTCGGAACCTCAACTTGGGCAGGAGGCTTTTGGGAGCCCAGGAGTTGGATTGTGGGGTCTCCAAGGTGATCCATTCCATGGCCCAGGTCTCCAAGGTCTTGGTGAACCTCAACATCTGCCTCCAACCGCTGCTCTACGCGGCCCTGGGGGACAAGCTCAGGAGCTGCTGCAGGAGCAGGAGGGGGAATGGGCCCCACCAGGGGGAGGTGGTGGCCCAGGAGGTCTACCCAGTGGCCCAAGAGCTCCTTCCAGTGGCCCAAGATCAGGACGTGGTGGCCCAGGAGCTCCCACCAGTGGCCCAGGAGCTCCTTCCAATGGCTCAAGAGCTCCCCATGGTGGCCCAGGAGCTCCCACCAGTGGCCCCAGTGGCCCAAGAGCTCCTTCCAGTGGCCCAGGAGCTCCTTCCAGTGGCCCAGGAGCTTCCACTGGTGGCCCCACGCCAAGACGTG